GCAGGTCGACCTTGGAGCCGGCTGGCATTGGCTCTGTTGGACACAGGGGAAGCTTCTGGCAGCTTCTCACAGAAACCACTCCTGTAGCTCCCCCACTACCAAAATGTTGCCATGCAGATGCTTCAGAGGATAAATATAAAGTTAGTAAAGTCTTCAAAGGCTTTAAAAAAAAAAAAAAAAAGAAAAAAAAAAGGATTGTTTGGGGGTTTTTAAGTCAAATTAAAGGAGAGATGATAAATCCAGAGTAATGCTAGCAATTTCTATATAGCTGTATTTTTCTCTTTGTATTGATTGATGGTATGACATATAATAGAAAGCATTCTTCTTTCTATTTCTAAAGTGTGGAAACGCAGGTCTTATTAAAAATCCTGACAGGGCTACTGGCATATAACGCTGTATGTCTTGTCTGTGCTTTCCTCTGTATTTTCTTTGACTATTTGAAATACCTGCTAGGTGAGATGTCACTTTAAAAAAAGCAGCTTTTACAAGCAAGTGGTCTTTGCCTTAGCAAAGCTGTTTCACTGGGCATCTTCCTTAGTCAGCCATTAATGTATTTTCTTTTAAGACTTCAGTATTTTGATTTTCTGAACACATTTAGGCTCTCAAAGAGAAGACTGAACTACAAGCCCAACTTGCAGCTTTGAACATGAAGCTTCAGGCACAGATGGAGCACAGCCAAAACAGCCAGCAAAAGCAGGAATCTCTGAGCTCAGAAGTGGCCACATTAAAGCAGTCTTGCTGGGATCTGGAACGAGCGATGGCTGACCTGCAAAATACCTTGGAAGCAAAGAATGCTAGTTTGGCTTCTTCAAATAATGATTTGCAGTTAGCAGAGGAGCAGTACCAAAGACTCCTACTGAAGGTTGAAGATATGCAAAAAAATGTTCTCACCAGAGACAGCACAGGTGGGATGATGTAAATGTCAATCTTCAAAATTTGTTCTTCCATAAGTCATTTTGTTTCAAAATTATTTTGAATTCCAGGAAGAAGGAATTTTAATTTGTGTTTTGTTGATGTCATACTAATAAAATGGTCTGAATTTTAAGATGATTGGATTTTATTTTCTGTCACAGAAGTGCCACAATTTGCAAAGTGCCACTGCCAGCTTGGAGTGGGAGGCATAAATATTTAGTAACTGACAGAGGACTAATGGTTTTTAGAAAATTGTACAAATATTGGTTTGTAATGATGACTACGTGTCAGGATACCTGCTTCCTGATTTTTAATTAGTTCATATTTTCTGCCTCTAAGGGACTAATGCTTATAGAAGTGAGTCATTTATTTTAATTTTATTCTGCTTATGACCCAACACTTCGGATTCTAGCACTACCCCTCACTTTTGCAGGAAAAGCCAATCTTTATTTAATTAGGCATATATGTTTTTGTTCAAAAAGGGAAAAAAAAAAAAAAGGAGGGGAAAAAAAAAGCTATGAATATAGCAATAATCCTTGAAAATGTGTGCATAAAAATAGAACGATGGAGTGCGCTAGTCCAAGTTCTTTATTTTTCTTTTTCTAGTTCATGATCTGCGACAGCAGCTGGCTTCCTTACAGAACCAGCTTCAGAAGGTGCAGTTGGAACGGACCACACTGACCAATAAGCTAAAGGCATCTGAAACAGAAATCTCATCGCTCCAAAATGTGCGACAGTGGTACCAGCAGCAGCTTGTGCTAGCACAGGAGGCCCGTGTCAGGCTACAGAGCGAGATGGCCAATATACAGGTATTATGATCTACTTGCACATGGGAGAACTGAGAATCTGTTCTTTTTTATGTGAGTTTTATCCACAGGGCACTGTTTATGAGCTTGGACAAGGGACTCATTCTTCAGGTGGAAAGCAGGCAGGAATAGTGCTTTGGTTTTCATCATGAAGTGTTAGTTCACATTAATGCTGAGGCATAAATTTAACCAAATCACTTGCCTTCTGTGGATGAATATCTGCAGTGCCGTGACACGGACACAGATAGATTGAATGTGACTTTTCTTTTTTCTGAAACTCTTAAATTCACTGTCCAGATTTTGAGTGTTTGTATTTAATCTGTGATGTATTTTTTTTTCCTTCCTTTAGGCTGGGCAGATGACTCAAGCAGGTATGTTGGAACATCTCAAACTAGAGAACGTGGCATTGTCTCAGCAGCTGACTGAAACCCAGCACAGATCCATTAAAGAAAAGGAACGTATTGCAGCACAGCTGCAAAATATTGAGGTATGGTTGTAGGTGGTCTTCACGAATTATGTTCTGCCTAGGTTGTGTATTTAGGTTTTGCAAACTCAAGGCTATTCTGGCAAAGCAGCATAGTATTCTTATGAATTGATTCAAATGCTGCATTATAAAACCAGTAAATATTTCAGAGCAAATAAATTTGCATGCCATTATGAACAGTAAGAGGTAGCAAGGCCATATGTTTCCCATTCCAAGGTGATACTTGCATTTTCAGCTCTGGTATTTGTTTTTAATTGAATTTTAAAGGTGAATGTAAACGTTCTCCTTTGCCCATTTATGAACTTTCAAAGAGAAAACTTATTTGGAAGTTAAACTAAGTCAGTTAAGTGCTTCTTAAGTGTGTGAAATTGCTCAGTATTCAAGTTTGTCCCTTCTGCCCTCCTGTAAGAAAAAATGGGTAAAATCTGAAGTGCAGTACACTTGCTTTCAAAGCACTTGGAACCTTAAATGCCATTGAATTTCAGTGACATTGCTGCTTGTAAGTCTCAAAGATCAGTAAAGCAGCAGATCAGTGGAACCACCCTGTCTCCAGTGTTACTAATAGTGGTTGCATAAATTACAGGAATTGCTATTTCACCGAGTAACTACAGCATCCAAGGAATCTTTAAAGTTTCAGAATTTTTTGAAACAGCTTAATTTTAATACAGACTCTTTTTCTTTACATCAATTTAGAAAGGATATGGTGTTATTTAAGAGGAATTCTGATTATCACAAGTATACAGGACATACACTGTTATTCTAAGGTGTCTTAAATATATGAACGGGTGACTTCAATAAAGACATACAGGTGTGTAAGGCGGACATCACAATTATTTTTGCTTGTGTCTTTTCTCTAGAAATTTTGTTGATAATTTACCTTTTTCTTTTCCTCTTCTTCTTTTTCTTCTTTTTCCTCCCCTCTTCTTCCATGGAAATTGTAAAAGTTGATTCCTTGCTTTTTCTGTGCAGGCTGACATGTTAGATCAAGAAGCTGCCTTTATGCAGATCCAGGAGGCTAAAACTATGGTGGAAGAAGACTTGCAGAGAAAACTAGAGGAGTTTGAGGATGAGAAAGAACAGCTTCAGAAAATGGCTGATTCTGCAGCAACATTGGAGCAAGAATTGGAACAGGTAGACTATTGTTAGGCAACTTCCCAAGGGTTTCAAGGGCTTATTTGGCTGAAAAGGCAATAGTAAATAGATCCTGAGCTCTAAGCTTTTTTAAAACCTGAAAGATTGCTGCAAAAAATGAAGTCCATATCAAAGTCACTCTGTCCCAGGTGAAAAGGCTCCCCCCCTCCCCTTTTTTTTTAACCATCTCAGTAACAGTACTTTTTTTGAAGTTTCAGGACTGCTGTCTTGTAGATTTTTTTTTTTTTTAAGTGCGTACAGTATGTGATTATCCGAACTATAGAAAAGAAGCATAGATCCATGTTCAAATTGGTAAGCAGTCAGGAATCATTACATATACTTACAGCGTAATAAATCTGCACTTCACTACAGAGTCCTACTGTAACCTCGTAACGTTACAAAGGCAGCATGTCAAGCGCTGGAATGAGATGAAGTATGTGATAGCTCAGTATTATGTTCCATGTAATTATATGGCATTATCATTAATAACACTGAATTTACCTGGTATATCTACTCTGGACACGTTTTTCCAATAAAAACTTTGAATACTGTGAATCTTAAGAATATTTTAGGTCTGTCATTCTGGTCGTTGCTTAGCCTGTAAGATTACAGATGCTGCAGAAGGCAATCAATGCAATTAATAGAGCAAATAGAAGAAGTAGCCTAGGAAAGTTAAAAAATATTTTCACCTTCTGCTATTTTCTCCTAGAAGCCAAAATACTATTTGAAATATTTTATTTTGATTGGAGTGCATTTGCAGAGATAACATTTATTTTGTATGAATTTAATCCTAAAATACTTCTTCTCAGGTCAAGTTGACTTTGCATCAGCGAGATCTGCAGCTTGAATCTTTACAGCAAGAACACCTAGACTTAATGAAGCAATTCACTCTGACCCAAGAGACACTGCACACCAAAGAGCAGTCCCTGGATGACCTGCAAACACAGTATGATGAACTGAAGGCCAGACTAGAGGAGTTCCAAAGTGATGCTACTTCTAAAGATGATATGATCCAGTATTTGCAGAATGAGAAGATTGTCCTGGAAGTAGCTCTGCAGGCAGCAAAAGCAAGCAAAGAGCAACTTGACGAAGGAGCAATGCGTCTTGGGGAAGATACAGAAGTAGCATCAGAAATCTTGGAACAACTGAGGCAAGAAATGGCAATCAAGTCAACCCAGGTAATGAATCCCTAAAAGTATCTTATTTAAAGTAGCTGTTGCGGGCAAGTATTGCCACAGTCACGTGATAGAGCCAATTACATGAGAGAAGGATGGTACATCTGAGTTTGTATACATGAATAGTTGCAAGATTCAGCTAGTGGGAATATTTTAGTCGGTTCTCTCATTTTTCCCTGTGGTTGACTACCTGACACTTTACATCCTGTTATATCATTGATGAGCTTACAGTTTAATATCCCTTGGTATCTATATACGTTTATGCATTTGTGTGGCATGGGATGGGAAGCTGAGGATAACTGATCTTGTTCTGTCTGTTTCCAAGAGCCACTATCTTTCTAAAATCCAGCAGTTTTAAAACTCAATAATTTTGAGTACAGATCACAGTTTCGTAAGAGGTTTTTTGGCGTGCTCCTTTTCTGTGGCACTGTGGGCCAAACTTATGCAGTAATTTGGTCGTGTTTAATTGTGCCTTTTCTCCTGAAACAATATACCAGGGTTTGCTTTTGTGTATTGCTGTATACCAGCTGAGGCTTTTTTTTTTTCTCGTCACTGAACTATTTTACAAGATCAAGCCTAATGCATATCCTTATTCTCTCTGTGGCTGCTTTAAATTATGGTGACTCTTCCTTTTACACCTTAGTTTGATAGTCGCATAATGCTCTGTAACTTTTAGGACATCCAAGTTCCATAGCAAGAGCTTTCTTACTGAATCACGGTAATGACGAGTTCCTGGTAATCTTTAGAGATTTCTTTTGAAGATAATAATGGGACTTGATAGTATTACCAATAGAAGTATTGAAGAACTATGGAAATATATTTAACCTAAAGACTTTTTTTTTTCCTTCAAAACCAGATGGTTTCTTCATTTGATCATGTATGCGTGAACGAGTGCCATGCAGATACAACCTATGTACACTAGTGATGCATACTAAAACTTTAATGGCAGGATAAGGGGACTTCATGCATTTCTGAGGGTTGACAAGGCTCACTGTGTGGTGACTTGTGTGAATGTATTTCTGTATAAAACCTTGTGTTATCTAACAGCACCGTTGAGATGCCTAGTCAGAAACACTAGATTCTCATTAGATTAGACAATTGCCTCATTAGATTAGGCAACTGGTACAAGCATAGCAAAAGATACTGTCACTGCTTGAAGTAACGTAGAATATGACATTTGGCATGTAAAGCAATGCGTTTGCTTTTTTCCCTCTGGCAGGTAGAAAATCTGCAACAAGAAAATGCCAGCCTTAAAAAACAGGTTCAAAAAGTGAAGGAACAGTTCCTGCAGCAGAAGGTAAGCAAAACCAATTTCAAAGAACTAAACCCAAGGAATATACTTTTTTTTTTTACAGTGAACGCATATACTTCTTAGGGGTTTGTGAGGACACTTGAATCAATTTTCTGTATCAAAGAACTCTGTGACATAATTATACAGTTTCTGTATTTCATACAGTTGAATTTTTATCTGTGGCTAACGTAAAAGCAGATCCACCAATGAATTCATGCTTTCATTGGACTTCAGGGAGTTAGCAAAATGATCCAACATATTCAAAGTCTCTCTGGTTTGTTGGCACTAGATTTGCTTTTGCAAAACCACTCAAGAAAATCTTCAAGCGTTGTCATTTTACAATTAGTGTAGTTTTAAAAAAAGGCACGTAGTTAGTGCAGTTCTGTAAAGAATGTGAAGAAGAGTATTCCATACTGCTATAAACACTCTTACTCAGAGGTTTTTTATGAACTGCTGATACATAGTGGTATTTGATATCTGAGCTTACATAAAAGTCTTTGAACCAGGGTACATATGTTACAGAAGATGATGCTGATTTGTATTCTTTCACACACACACATAGTCCACCCCCTGCAACTGAAAGAATATCAGTAATTACTGTATAATAAATTGCTTTTAAATTTGTAAAGCTGTAACAGAGGTGACACTGTCCTCTTGAAACTTTTGTGTCCAAGGTAATGGTGGAAGCTTATCGAAGAGATGCAAGTTCTAAGGACCAGCTGATCAGCGAACTAAAAGCTACAAAGAAGCGTCTGGACTCAGAAGTGAAAGAGTTAAAACGAGAGCTACTGAAAATTCAAGTTGAAAAACAGTCACTTGAATCTGAACATTCAAAACTACAGAAGGAAGTATCTCAGGTTCACCAGCAGATGGTGGAAATAGAAAATCATCTTCAGTCAGTGCAGAAAGAACGAGACGATATGGAAACACGCCTACAGGTATGGAAGGTGTTAAGCTTTGGACTTTGAGAGTGCTACGTCCAGGATACATTGCTATTTCTATTAACTTTGGAAGTAAACAGAATGACCACCTGCAAGTTGAGGTTCTTATATCGATATTGTCTATATATTTGAGCATATATCTACCAACATTCTGCAAATACATGACTGCTTATTAACATCCCATGTAAGTAAGTGGGGAGAAGCACGCTACAGGAGTGGTAGAAGTGTGATGTGGAGGGAGTTTCCTTGGTCTCAAAGTGAACCTCATCTGAGAGCAAAGACCAAACTAGAACTCTGTTCATACATGTTATGGTGGTGGCTACAGAGGGAAGAATTAAAGAAGAAATAAAAGGGAATGAGAAAGGAGATGGAGAACCTTGGAACAGTTTACGTTTGGAGATGGAAGTAATTTTGAAATTTTGTGCTGCTTCTTCTATAATCCAACATAGAGCAAACATGCTTTTGTTCTTACTCTCATGGTGCTTTTTTTCCTTCCTATTAAGTCTTTGCAGTTCGATAAGGAACAAATGGTATCCCTCACTGAGGCAAACCAGGTGTTAAAACAGCAAGTAGAACAAATGCAAGAAGAAGCAAAAAAGTAAGTGTTCTTTTAGCTCAGACAAAAGAACTATAGCATTTGTTTTCCATATTCACCTTTTTAGCAATCACTCTTTTTTTTTTTTTTTATTCCCTAGTCTTTCCTTTGGGAAATATAATTAGTCAGAGAGTGACAGAGTCATATCCATGGCAAAGTGTTGGTAGCACACTGTGCAAGAGTTGCAGCTTCTCCTCTGATTCACTTCTGCTTTTAACCAACAGTCTCTGCCATACAACATACATATCGGAGCTAATACTAATTACCATTCACTGCATTTTAGCCTTGACTGGCTAGAACACTGGCATTAATGAGAACCACTTTTTTTTTTCCACCGGTGATCACAGGGGTTTTATGACACCTGACACATCCACCAAGGATATCAGACTAGATTGGACTCTTACTCTAAGTTCTGTGTTATTTTTAGAGGGTGTAGTATACATTCCTTTATACTGGAGTTCTAATACTTCTGACAAAGACCTCTTCATTACCATAAGTATTTTCTTAGAATGTTATCAAGAGTCTTCAAGCTATTGTCTTTCAAAGGGCCCAGTTGTACCTTACCAACCTGATGGCTTTCTCTGATGAGGTGGGTGACTCTGGGGAAAAAGGGGAGAAAAGTAGATGTTGTTTTTCATTGGGCCATGTGAAAAATTTAGTAGTGTTTTTGGTTTTACCTGATGTTTTGTTTTTCCTTTCACTCCAGGGCCATTACTGAGCAGAAACAGAAAATGAAGCGTCTAGGGTCAGATCTGACGAGTGCTCAGAAAGAGATGAAAGCAAAACATAAAGCCTATGAGAATGCAGTTAGCATTCTTAGTCGTCGGCTGCAGGAATCTCTTGCTGCAAAGGAGTTTGCTGAAGCGGAGTTGAGCAAACTAAAAGCACAAATCACTGATGGTGGAAACAACCAGATTGCTCAAGTATGCAGATGTTTTTTAACATTGTTAGTACAAAGATAGTGCTATCTTGTTATTACATATAAGTCTTGAAATACTATTTTACACTGAAGTGATGAAAATATTTGGAATATAAAGCTAGGTAAGAACATGGTATCAGTGTTCTGAGCACTGGGAATTTCCTTAACTATATTTGAGAGAGGTGATTTGGCAAGGTTGGTGGGGTTTTTTTTTTATTTTTATTTTACTTGCATCTTTCAGGTTACCAATTGTAATCCAAGCTCAAGAGGATGATCAGCCTTAGTGCTAAATTTCCTGAATAATTTTTATTGTTGGTTTGGTTTTGGTGGTTTTTGTTCAGTTGGTTTTGGGTTGGTGGTTTGTTTTGGTTTTTTTGGTTTTTTTTTTTTGAAAGGCTCAGCATCTGAAGATTTTCCAAAATTCTAACTCTTACTGCTTTTTTTCTTATTGGCAGTTAAAAGTTCTTCAGGGTAGCCATAACTTACTTATACATGTTATGCCTGTGATAAGAAAATTAATTTGCTGGATGCAAGGGTCGAAAGCTATGAGCAAGACCTTTACATTAAGCACTAGCACCTCATTTAATATTTGCTAGAGAAGTAGGCTTTTTAACAAAACCAAAATTACTCCTGTAGATGGGTGATATATGGGGGTTGGACTAGATGACCTCTAGGGGTCCCTTCCAACCCAAACCATTCTATGATTACGATTCTATGATTAATCACGCTTGTGATCCCTTTTGTCTTTAGGAAAGGATTCAAGCTCTGGAAACAGAATTGCAAGCTGTTAGCAGCAGTAAGTTGATGCTGGAAAAAGAGTTGCAAGAAGTGATTTCACTTACCAGCCAGGAACTTGAAGAATACAGAGAGAAAGTGCTGGAACTTGAGGATGAGGTGACTGCTTGAATTTGCATGATCGATGGGAAGGTGACAGTAAAAAGTGCCTGAGAGGCAGGGAGAAATGTTAGCACCATAATTTTATTTAAACAGTGCAGGAAATCAGAACCTTACATAGGAAACATTGTGTCAGTGACACTTGCTAATTTTGCTGCCCTGTGCTGGTTCTTCATTTTTTTCATGAATCATTGTTGTATAGGGGAAAAGAAGGTGAGAGAGAAAAGTAGTTCCTGTGTTAAATGCCAGCTGTCTGGTCATGAGACAGTGAGGATGCATGAATCATTGTCTATTTGAAGTCATGGATGCTTAGTGATTTTGAGGGCAGGGTGGTGATGTTCAGTTGTAGAGTTGCATAAAAAAATTATATATATCGACTACTCTTGATCTGCACCGGAACGGTACTCCTGGATTCTGCTTTCTAGCAAGCATTTTAGTCTTCCAAAAGGAAAAAATAAAAAATACCTAACTGAACTTATTTTGAAGTGTTCATTTAAAAAAAGAAATGGAAAAAAAAGAAATCCCACTCTGGGGAAAGCAAGACATCTAATGAGTTTAGCTCACAACTTCTTTGTGGTAGTAATGTGGAGTTCTTTGGTTTTTGTTTGTTTGATTTGTGTGATTTGGTTTTTTTATTTTCCTTTGGCTATAGCTTCAGGAATCTAGAGGCTTCAGGAAGAAGATAAAACGTTTAGAAGAAATTAATAAGAAGTTGGCCCTTGAACTGGAGCATGAACGTGGAAAACTTACAGGTCTTAGTCAGTCCAATGCTGCTTTGCGGGAGCACAACAATATCCTAGAAACAGCATTAGCAAAAAGAGAGGCAGACTTGGTACAACTGAATCTACAGGTATTTAACCTTATGATATAATATCTTCAGAAAGGAATTAACTTATATTTCTGATAACAGGATGTAGACATCATCACTCATATGATACAAAGTTGGTGCATTTTCTCCAGACCTGGGTCTCCCATGTGTTGTGTAACAGCAGTAATACAGGGGGCTAAACAAGAGATCAGAAATGAGACTTTGCACTAGAGAGAGCTGTTTCTTACGGAAAAAACCAAATCACACTAAAATATTTGCAATAGTGAAAGTGTGGCTCACTTAAGTTAGTTGGAATATACAAACTGTGTTACCTACAGACTCACTGAGATGAACAATTACATGTAATATATTTGTGGTGTATAAGCAAATGGGAATATAGGCAGTGAGCTACCATTTAACCATAGCTACTTTTAAGGTTGAAGGGTACCATGAAGAAAGAGTTATCAGTGAACAGCAGAGAGGTTCTGCAATCCATGCATTGGCTTGTGTTTATATTTCCTCTACCGGCATTTCTGGTCTTCCAGGGAGACCACACAAAATGTGTGTGTGTTTTTTGTGACATGATACAGGTTCAGGCAGTCCTAAAGCGGAAAGAGGAAGAGGATCAGCAAATGCAGCAACTTATTCAAGCTTTACAGGCTTCCTTAGAGAAAGAAAAGTCAAAAGTTAAAGACCTTAAGAAGCAGGTAATGGCTGATCTTTTGTTTTATTTACTCAGAAGGTGACTCAAATGTAAAGTATTTGAAAAGTAGCTTGAAACAAAATCTGTGCTTTATAACATACTGCTTCCTGCAGAGTCTCTTCATGTCATGCATTGGACATATGCTGAAGTGAATGTACTTCATCCAAAAATGCACAGTGAAGCAGCAGTCTGGCAAATGTGCTTCTTCCATTATATATAATTATTAACTGCCATTAGCGTTAATAAGGATAACAACACTAATAATAAGTTTTTTAGACAAAAAGAGAAGTGTTAACAGCTGCACAACTTACTCCTTGATTTGTTTTGTACCCGTTTAGTCCAGCTCCCTTTATGATTCACCTACAGTGATAAATCATCTTTATTTTTTTTTTCTTGTAGGAAGCAGCAGCCAAAGCAGATGCAGCACATAACCGCCGTCATTACAGAGCTGCTGTGCTTGAGCTCAGTGAAATCAAGAAAGAGCTACATGCCAAAGAACAGCTTGTCCTAGCCCTTCAGGTTGAAGTGGACAAACTGCAGTAAGTAAATGTCCCAAGTTCTTAGAGAATAGCAAATAAAACAAATCCTCTCGAAAAAGCCATGCATTAATCAATTTTTGGTTTTGCCACTCTGGACTCTGGAGTGGATTATATTGAAATGTACGCAAGCTGAGCCTGACCATAAGATGTGTGTTTGGACTCAAGGTGAATACTTGCATTTTTCTGTCTCTTCCTAATTCAGTTAGACCTGATGTGCGCTGTATTTAGGCTTCACCATCTGCTTTTTTTACCGTTTCGACACAGATTTCTACTGTTTTATGTTACTAGTAAAAATTAACCTTCATGTGTATCCCTTTATTCTTCTCTTTCACATCCCTGAGGAACTACATAGAGGATAAATTTGGTTGTTGAATATATTCCACAATAGATTCAAATTCAATTTGTTGTATAGAAGATATTTTCTTAAATTATAAGAAATTATCAGACCTACATGAGAGAATTGGATATCAGGTTAACCCTATTCCTCCTAAAACAAAAGCAAAATTGCTGACAGGTTTCGTGTTTTGGTTTGGTTTTTTACTGTGTAATCTATTGTTTGTAATTGAACTATTACTAGTGCTCAAGGAAATTTTTTTTTTGCAATATTTAATAATATATTCATGCGTCTGTCTCAAATCTTTTTGTGATTTAACTCTTGCTGTGAGTGTGTTGGCAAAGCCTTCAGTCAAAGCTATAACTAACCAGGTTCCATGCACTGTCATGTCATTTATGGTTACATAGCTAACCCAGTGAAGCACTTGTTTTAAAGGACAGATCGAATAACTGCTGTGTCTGTTAATCCTGCTGTGCAGGGTAGAAGATGAAAAACATTCCCAGGAGGTATCACAGTTTCAGCAAGAGCTGGCAGAAGCCAGGTCTCAGCTCCAACTTCTGCAGAAAAAGCTGGATGACAAGCTTAGTGAACAGCCTGTAGTAAACCAAGAGGTAAAAACTAACTACACATTTACTGTGTTTATCCTTATTTATGATGCATTTTATGACTTCATTGGTCTTTAATTCAGTGTTTTTTAATGAAGTTTTGCTAGGTTTTCTTAGAACCCGCAAAGGTTCATGAGACATAATAGCATTTTTCAGATTGTGTGGTTGATTGCACCTATAGATAATTCTACAGCTACTTTTCCCTCCCCCGGTAGGTGGAAGACCTCAAGTGGGAAGTGGAACAAAAAGAAAGAGAAATTGAAACACTTAAGCAGCAGCTGGATATGAGTGAGCAGCGCAGCCGCAAGGAGTTAGAAGGGATACAAGTTGTCATGCAGGTATTTAGTCTAGCTGGTGGAGATTCTGATGGATAACTGTAGGGGGATAATTAAAACCAGTATTTTTACTGTTTAAAAGCAAACTTACACCGATAGTTTTCTGATACTTTTTTTTTAATACATTTTTATTCATAAAAACTTATTCACTGTCTGTTTTGCAATGTCTTTACTTCTCAGTTTTACTTTGACTGTGCTGTTAGCTTCTTATTTCCTTGACCTTATGCCATTGAAACAGGCTACTGACTTTTTTAATATTATTTTCTGCCAGGGCAAACTGGTTTCAAATAGCAGCGTTCTGTGTTGCTGCTGCTTCTAGTTTCCCCTGGAAACTAAAGGGGGAAAAAAAAAAAGATAAAAACATCTGTTGGCTGGATTTTTTTATACCATTTCCCTGTATTACATTGATTCTCTTCTTTTCCCATTTAGAATATCAAGACTGAGTTGGAAATGGTGAGGGAAGACCTGTCAGCGACTCAGAAGGATAAGTTTATGCTGCAGGCTAAAGTGACTGAACTGAAGAACAGCATGAAGTCTCTGCTGCAGCAGAACCAACAACTGAAGTTGGACCTGAAGCATGGCAAGATGAAGAAGGTATTTAAATAGGAAGAATACATGTTGTAGGGTACCAGAAAATACTCCACTAATGCTTTTAAATTTAAGTACCGGAAAACACTCTGCTGCAGGAAACCTGGTGAAAACTCTGACTGAAATGCCTGCCTGTGATACAGACTTACTGCTGTTCTGATATTTAAATGATAAATACAGGAAGATTTGCAGGCAAAAGTAACTGTACTGATCTTGACTTCCCACTTTTTACTTGAGAAATCTTTGTGTTTAGTGTATTGTCTGATGTTTACATTTTGACTTATAAAGCAAAAAGGTAGCACTTAATAATGAATCATGGGCAAATACAGAGTTAATACCTTCACGTTCATGGGTTTATCCTTTCCATACTGTCTAGTTTTTCATCCTTCCACAGTTTTAAAAGGCAACTATTAGTGGTTCCTTTGAGTTTTCTGACTTGCTACTGAGTACACAGAAAATGCAGTAAGAGTAGATCTCTTGCTCTTTCCCAAAAAAATTCCCTCCCCGAAGTAATTCTCTTAGACAGAATTTCGTCTGGAAGTCTCTGTTTCATTCTTTTAGACATTGGTCCTGATGCCTAATCCTACAGGTTCCAGAACTTCCAAAAGGATTTCTTTGGTTGTACTTAACTGATTTTATTTTTTTTTCTGAATTACTCTTAACTATACTGAAAGAATATTATTAAAACTTGTTGTGAAGATCCAAGTCATTTGCTTTAAATCCTTCCTGGTTTATTTCTTTAGTAGGATGAGTTCTTGAGTAGGTCCTTCTAGGTGCTGTTTGTTTAACTTATGAGCATGGCTAGCAGATGACATGGAGTTAGGAATTTTTGCTTGTGACCATGAGACTTAACATGAATGTGCTTCTGATTCCTGCTCTATAATACAGATAGGTACCAGTAGTGTGATATGAGAGACTCCATGTGGTAAAAATCACACTGATGAAATAACTTAATTGTATTTCTGGCTCTTCTTTTTTTCCTTTATCAGAGGAAGGAACTGAAAGGAGAGAATAACTCTTCAAATCCTGTGACTCCAGTCAAGATTCCTGATTGTCCAGTGCCTGCTGCCTTGCTGGAAGAGCTGTTGAAACCATCGACAGCTGTGAGCAAGGAGCCTTTAAAAAATCTGAACAGCTGTCTCCGGCAATTAAAGTATGACCTGTTATTTTCAACCATATTAAATAATCTTAGAAATGTTTCCAAGAAACCAGCTGCCAGCCTAAGCAAAAACGGATTTGTAAAATGAAGTCTATTCCTCTTTCTGGGACTATATTTAGGACAGTAGGATGTTCTGTCATTGTAAGTGCTTGCTTTTATGGAAATGAAATGCCTTTACAATAAACTAGACAAAATATCCATCCTAAATCGTACACAGCAGAAAAAAACAGAAACTGCTTTTTCTTGTTGTTCTTGCTGGTGAAAAAGCTGGTGTTTCTCTTCACAGCATCAGAAAGGCTGCTGATAGGAGCCCAGGCAGTGTGTTAATAAAATCTCTACGGAGGAAGTTCACTCTGCCAAAAATGTGTTTTCAGGTCTTCCTTTGCAAGGTTGCACGTGAGATTCTGAGCAGGAAAGGTACAACTTCAGGAAGATGGGGAGTTCAGGTTGTTAGGAGAACTGAGCTGCAATTACAACCTCAGTTGATGTTTGAGGGGAGCGAGCCTGTGATAATGTTCTGTGATCCTGTACTACCAGACTAGTTGCTTTGCTAAATCGGTGTCTGATTAAAATCATAACGTGTTTATCTAGTTATTTTTCTGTGCTGTTTTCCTCACCTCTACCTACCACGTTGTCTTTTACGCCTGCAAGAGTACCACGTTCATCAGATTGCAGTCACTAAGTGTCTTTACAGAGGAAACAGTGCTGCATCATCCCTGGCAATGAGTATGTGCAGCAAAGGAGCTGCTGCATTGTTGGCCCTTATTTTTGAATTAAGCATATTGTATTTGTTTTGCTCTTGAAAGACAGACAGTTCCTAAGGTTCCTGTAGACTTCCTTCTCTCATATACAGCTACAGCTTACATAGTCTCGGAGTAGGTATCAAGAATTAGAAAAGTAATTTTCTGATGTTGCATTTAGCAGTTATCTTTCTGCTTGTTAATTTTGCTTTTTTGTTCCCAATACTTCTAAAAGGCAAGAAATGGACAGCCTTCAGCGCCAGATGGAGGAACACACCATTACAGTACATGAATCAATGTCTTCGTGGACTCAGATCGAGGGGCAGCTAATGGACCTTACGTCTACCAGTCCTGCAACTGCAGCAGACCAGCAGGAGATTACTACTCTAGATGAAAAGAAACAGAATTGTAGTGTTAGTGACAAGGAAGCTTTGACACTATAACCTCCTTATCAGTTGTCTTTCCTCCTATTGCTTTAATTATGTAAACAAATCTTTATCAAAATTATTTATTTATTTCATTTTTAAAAATGGTGTTCAGAGTTGTGCTTTTGCCTGTAGAAGCAAAGGGCATGGTTTTGAGAAACTGGTGTAATACTAAATGCAGAACATGCTATTCCAAGGGTTTGTTTGAAACCTTACCATAATAATTCTGTCATGTTGGGACTGCCAAGTGGTAAATGTAGCACATTTTGGGGTTTAGGAAGAGATTCAGATGAAGGTTTACAAAGAGGTCAAGAAGAACATCTGGTTCCAGGTCTGTATTTGTTCAATCTGGGTGAATTTGTTAAAGACTGACTGTTAATTATGTAACATCTGGGGTTTGGTGTGCGTTTTTTGGCTTTTTGGGTTTTTTGTTTGTTTGTTTTAATTTGGGAGGGGCAGGAGGGTGTGTTTTTTTCCCCCATCTTGGGTTGTATCCAAATGACGGGGAAAAATAAGTTCTGCTCATGTTCAGCCATTAGCAGCAGTTCAGAACTGGATATTCTGAGCGTCCTCTCTCTTTCCACCTGTAATCTCTTATTCTTGAAAGTCAGATTACAGATATCTGCATTTAAAGAAAAGAAAAAAATTCATTTGAAGCCATTTCTAGTTATGAAGATGACCTCTGACCTATAGCAAAAGAAACAAGACTGTAAAGACAAGCAATGTGGACCGGTATGTATCGTTGGCAGATTTGCCTGGGATGTTTTCTGAAGTATCAGTTTTTTTCTTACAGTCGCAGGCCAGTAGGGAGCTTTTGCTTCACTGCACAAACACTTCTTGCACCTTTTTAGTTCAACTGTTGAAGTAGACACCCTTAAAAAAGGTATGCGTGTTTACATATATATATATAAGAAAAAAATCATAATTTTCTGATTTTGAATATCTGTTTTAATATGCTTATATACTGTAAGTTAAGGCTGACACAAGGTTTTTTGTTACTGTCATGGTTTTAATGTTACATTTAAGTTGGCTGGTTTTTTGACATACTGTACAAATGGCTTAGGGAAATTAGCCCCTAAAGCCAGAGCTTTTAGAAATGTAATTATTTTTACTTTAAAAGACAAAATTATAATGCTTATAAAATTATTATTTTTATTAGCTTTATCTTCTTCCTCACACTTCCCCTACTTTTTGCACCCTCTATTCCAAGGTGTCCACCATGAATGGAAATGTTGGTACTGTGGCAGCGCCTCTGCAGAGCACCTTGACTAGATTATTATTAAAGCAGCCCACTTTATATTCCTTCACCTTTAGTCCTGTTGTTCCGTGTGGCTCGTAGTGCAGTGATAAGCCCACCCTCTCCGCATTCAAAAATTCAGTGTGGAGGTACTGCTTCGCCTGATGTGCTAAGTGCTAAAGCACAAATCAAAATATACGCGACAGATTATTTGGAAGATTTAGTGGCAACTCATGTACTAGCATGTTTTTGTCTTTAAAATGTAAAGAAAGCAGGTCATTTACGTCCACTGTAGTTTGGCACTTAAGAAAGTACACGTAGATTAAGTGGCTGGGTTAAAAAACAAAAACTCTGGTTCATGTGTCTTTTCCAAAGAGACTGTTGCTGCTTTTGGATGGGTTTGGTTGTTGCGGGCGGGGGGGTGGGGATTATTGCAGTTTGCTTAGCAGTAAGGCAAAAAATAAGCAAACAAACAAAAACCCCAAACCCACCCATATTTATCCAAAGTTTGATTTCTCATAATTGCCAATTCAAGCTCTAGTCCAGTTGACCACTTTGCACTTACAGTGTTTATACAGACTGATTTAATACTCCTCAGCTACTGCATTTTAACTTAGATTTTATTGGGATCAAAGTCAAGTGATGCTAAAAGTGAAGATTTTGAAACTGGTGAAGGAAGAAGTGCATTAGTGTGGCATTAGGCATCATGCAGAATTACCAAACAATTCAAAGAAAAGTCAAAAGCTTTACAGACTAGCTTAGACGTGTTAATGCCTGCATACTGATGCAGTCTGCGTTGCAGAGTAAATGGTACTGATCATCTCGCGGTTCCTGAAATTGCCTGTATATTAAGCTCAAAGAAAAAAAAAAACAACCCACAGTATTTTTAAAGACCAAACTTAAAACTACGTAATGAGTAATATGCTCAGTACAAAAAAAAGTTATCAAATGTGCAGGATTTTAAATAAAATAACACTTGTGCAGCGTTAATGTTGCTGTTCACTTTAGTAAGTACACTGCCTACAGTTAAGAATCTATTATGTTTACTCACTTAAGTTTGGCAACAGCTGTATGAATAAAGGTTTTATCTGGTATCAGAGAAGCCAGAATTGTTAGAAAACTTTGTAGTTCTTCAGAATGTCTGCTCTCCTTTTTTGTATCAGTAATCGTACTGCATTCTGTTTTCAGTGCAGGGCTGCATTTTCTCCCAAGCTCCTTATAAAGACATAGAAGCTTATACAATCAAGTAGTCTTAGATGCATGTTTTTCCTTTTAAAGATGAGGGAGCTGAAGTGCTCAGCTTAGAGTTCTGCATTGACCCACCTGTCTCTATGAAAGTACCCGGACACTAGGTATTTGCATTTTATATTCACCATGTGTTTTTTCCACAAACAGCAGCACCATGCCATTTCCTTAAATGAAGGACAGACAGTGAGACTTGAGGGTCTAAATCTAGTGAGGTACTAAGTCAATTAAGTTACAGAAGTCACTGGGAAGCCTCCTAGAAGGAGCAAGGCCTTTTCTTTGAAGCTCATCAGCTTAAGGAAGTCACTGGGAAGCCTCCTAGAAGGAGCACGCAGCATGTGATGAAAGCAAGGCCTTTTCTTTGAAGCTCATCAGCTTAATTCTTAATTATCTGGAGAAACAGTTGCTGTTTTATTAAAAAGCCTCACCCTGAGGCTGAGCATGGTTGCTCTACAAAGCTTCAGGCCTCTGCTGTCTAGGCAATAAAACAAACTAGTTTATAGGAGTGAAAACTGCCTCCCCTCTGCCTGGCTGTAGCACTGCCAAATACATCAGAGGAAAATCTGAAGAATAATCTTAGAGATTTTTCTTTTCCTTTTTCAAGCACTGCATTAGAATGTATTTTCTGGGTCTGTTTCTTCAGTGGTTGCTGCCTACTGAACCAAGTCTTTTTGATGAAGGAGAAATGTCCCTGTAATGAGAGAATGTTTCCCAAGTGACGAAAGTTGGTAAATGCCACAGCATTACTTTTTCAGATGCTGTTGTGTTTTTGAGGAGTCTTGAATAATTGTGCATTTAAAAAAAAAAAAACAAAAAAAAACAAAACCAAAAAGCAACACCAAAAAAACCCCAAAACACAACAAAAACCCAGCAAACCCTACAATGGAAAAAAAATGTCAGTTACTGAGTCTCTGGTGTTGCTGAACATTGCATAATGCTCCACTCTATTGTCTTCCAGATTTCTTGGAAATATTTGTGCACTGTATTGGGATCAGCTGAGCCCCTTATCCACTCATGCAATGGGAGGATCTGATCCCATACTGCTTATTCAGGCAATATCCTAGCTGAAATCTATGAGAACTTCACATATGTCATGAGTAGAGTAATATCCAGAAGGAAAGTTCTAGTGCTCATATTTTCATGGATTACTTATTCCTCTTCCGGGGAGTGAACTGCAGTGGCATGGGTGTTTTACTGTTAGCTATGACAACATTAAAAGTGCACTGGGGACAGATAGTATTATCAATATAAATTTAACTTAAAAGATGACAAATTCACTCCTGGTGATGCAAAAGCTTGTGATGTATGTTTTATTAACTTTGCCGGGGAAGCGTGAATAGTTGCATGTGACTTGCTGTGACCAGAGCCTTTAAATATTTTCATGTGAAAGCAATTACAGTCCAAAGTAATTACTAACGCTCATCAGCTGTCATCTGATCAATCTTGTCTCCTACTAATGTGTAACACTTCAGTCGTGGGCAGTAGGGCAGCCTAATTTCCAATACAAATGCACAGATTTCTAGGGGAGGGAAAGATGTTCTGGGTATTGTACATGAAATACTGTTTGGTTTTATACATGACACTCAGTAATGTCTGCTTAGGCTGTGTTTGTACAGATAGAAGTTAATCATTTCATGTTCTTGAGTGGATAACCCAGGGGATGGAGGAGTTAACGCTATGTACAATTAATGTTTATGATCATACAAAGCATGATTATAAAAATAATGTGCATAGGAATTCCTTTAAAAGTTTTGTGCAATAAACTATTTTTGGTAAAGGGCTCCATGTTGTTTCTGTGTTTAAAGAGAAACTGGTGTCATCTTCTCTTTGGTTTTAGACAGTAATTTTTACATTTAGGCTTTTGAACATGCTCTCTATCCACCTTTAAGGAAAAAAAACAAACCTTATTTTGAAAGACTGCATTATTGCGTTTTGATTTTCCACTGATTTTTTTCATACATCTGCAATTGATTGTGCTTATATTTTCGTTACATTTACCTATCAAGGAAAGAAACGCAGTGAGTGTATGTCCCTTGGCCTGAAGCTTGAGTGTACAAAATGGAACAGTGCGGAAATGTCATCTTGATTCTAACTTAGCCCATTACCATGCTGAGGACAGAAATGACTGTACGTTGCTTTTTATATTAAACAGTGTGAGCTAAAGGGACGTTGTCAACTTCTTCAAGGCCTGCCATTTTGTATCGTCATTTAAACCAGCAGCTGACCGGGTTGTTTGTGGTACGAGGAGCCGCAGCTGTAAGGTAGTGATGTTACACCTGACGGGATGGCTGGTTTGGATCTGTGCACGGACTTGTTTCCTCCCCGGGCCCTGCCTTCTCCATGATTCTCCATCTCTGCTGGCTTCTCCCAGAGTGCTGCCGTGTCAAACTGTCGAGTCCTGCATTCTTTAAAGCATCTCTCTGCAGCCTCGGTCCAGACTCCTAACCCGCGCCTAGTCCGAGCCCAGTTAAACGCCGCTTTTTCACCCAGGACGGCCCCCGCCGAGGTAAGGGGCCGCGGCCCCGCTCGCCCCCGGGCTGGGGGCGGTG